AAATTATAAATTAATGATAAGGGTAATTTGGTAATTCAACATTTTTGTAACCCCCAATAATTAATTGGGAGTTACAAATCTTAAAAGATACATCTAATTGTTCATGAGATTTTATGAATTCTTTATTATTTCATGTTCATGGTATTCATTTCAATTGATTTTATACATATATTGAAATTGGTTGTCTAAGTGCACAAGATTTTCATTTCATTCAAGATACATGGAGAATCCTATTGTAAAAGAATGTCCGAATAATGAAGACGATAAACGCTTGCAGTCTATGTTCATATCTGCACACATGCACAACGATCCTTGATTTTGAAAATGTTCATATYTGTGCATCTATGTTCATATATGTTCACCATATGAACAACTTGTTTTCATTGAAAGACACAATCGTTGTTCACACGAACCCGTGACGATGTCATACGGTATGACATTGAAAAACATCACACCATATGAACATATTGTTTACATTGTAAGACACAGATGTTGTTCACACGAACATATGGCCGACATGTGAACATATATGAACATATGAATATAGTGTTTATATTGCAAGACACAGATGCTGTTCACACGAGCATAGGGCCGACATGTGAACATGAGTTGTGAATATGTTCATAATCGATCGTAGGTTACAAATCGGCTGGAGAATATCGGGTTTACGATACGTGAGGATTTATTACCAAAATACCTTGTGAACAATTGTTCATAAGCAACCCAATTAATTTAATGATTAATTGATTATTTTTTAATACTCATTTAATAATGACTGTTTGACCAATTTACCCTTTGAACAATTGTTCATACACATATTAATTAATACATTAATTAAATTATTGTTTATTTAATCTCATTTAATAATAACCGTTTGATGATAAAATGAACGATCAAGATCGGTTCACATAGTTTGTACCATATGGTTGGTTTCTATTTGAACCAGCCCCTATATATATAAGTGAGATCAAATGAAAACCGTCTAATTCTTAGAAACCGTGTAAACTAATTTCGACCAATAGGAAAATTTCTTTTTTTCTTAATTAAATTTAATCATTAAGGGTATATTTGTCATTTACATTGTTTTCTATTAAATATGGAAGTTATTAATAAATCTTAATTATGGTAGCATAATAAATGAAATTTTATAAATGATAATATTTAAATGTTTATTTAAATTAGAATTTTAAAAATTGAATATTGTTATTTGGTTTATCGGTTTATTAGTGGTAATAATATGAAAATCGAAAATTATTATATTCATTAATCCACGAAATCAGTAACAGATCCAAACAAAGATTAATTAACCGGTAAAAATATAATCAGCTGTGAAACAGATTAATGTTAGATTTGTATGTAGATTGGTTCGTGAAAACGTTCATTGAGAAGCTTGTTTTATGAAATTTTTGGGGATAAAATGGTTGCATAATCTTCTTTTCTTATCAACAATATTTGATGAAATTGTTTCATTTTGTTTTATTTTTTTGGATGATTTTGTTCATTTAATGGTTAACAAATCATATAATGGTAAATGTATTGACTCTATGAAACGTGTTCGTATTGGAAGAAATTGACTGATGAAATGGGTGCATGAAGAAAGTGAAACCATTTCATAACTGATAAGAAAATGTTGTAATTAGTGAACGGTAAAACCATTTCATTATTACGATGAAACGGATCCATCTACCAATAACAATGAAACCGTTTCATAATTAGATTGAAACGGATCCATCTACCGGAAACTTTTAAGGGGTTTCCGTCGCTGATCCGTCGCTGAAAGGGGTTTCCGTCGCTGATCCGTCGCTGATACTCCGTTGGTTAAACAGTCGTAGGTAATGCTATCAGCGACGGATCAACGACGAAAATCAGCGACGGATTTGCGACAGACACTTTCAGCGACGGATCAGCGAGGGAAGTATTTAGCGACGGATCAACGACGGATTTGCGAGGGAACTTTCAGCGACGGATTTGCGAGGGAAATTCAAGCACTTTCAGCGACGRATTTTCCCTCGCTAATCCGTCGCTAATTTGTAAAAATTAAAAAATAAATTTTTTAAAAATACATAAATCCTGTATTTATTTTTAAAAAACCTGAAAATAATAATATATAACAAACCAAATCTGTGAACAAAAGTAATCAATTCATACGATTTAAAATATGGATTCATACAATTTAAAATATTCAATTCATACAATTTAATCTTCGAATACATACAATCTAATTATCGGGATCTGGGAGAGGTGGGAAAACGTATCCTGACTGCCGCATAAACGCAACAAAATGCTCCGATAATGCGGCCTGTTGGGCTAATGCA